GTGTGGCAGAATAAAAATAAAATGAAATCTTTTATCTTGCATTCCAGTGTGTGTGAGATGCTTGGTATAGCTAGTTCATCATTGCTATATACCATCTTCATTTCTTTGATTGATGCATCTCTCCACCAGGTGGAGAGGTGGTATGTATACGCCTAATATACATACAATAGCTCTATAAGACAGGCCATTGTTATTACATAACATCTTATTTCAAAAGCAAAGAGGGGTCAATGCTAAAATGGAATGCCTGGCCCAAGACCACCTTATGAATTCCTGGCTGAGTGATATTTGAGCTAAGGAAGAATTATAATACTTTGGATCCATTCCACCTGATTTGTATTTTTATAGAAGGTGTGCATTAGGCATTATTAATAAGAATTGCAATAAATAATATATATGTCACAGTCAGTTTATAAAAGGTTATTGCTAAACAGCTATTTAGTCACAGTAGGAAATGTCTAGAAAATAACAGGCACACTTGTAGTATATCGCCAAGAAAATCTTTGGGGATTAATACAAAAACGCAAATTTGTAAGTTTGGAAATTGCCCAGTTAAGAAGCAAAAGCTGATTTACTTAATTGCAAAAGTAATGAACTGTTTTAAAAAGCTTCAAACAAAGTGAGTAAGATTTCTATTTCAAAAGTCATTCAAGTTAATTTAGCTGATTCTAGTTTCTTTCTTTTTTAAGAAATGCTAGGATTTTTGGCTGGATGCTGTTGTAATACAAATCCAATGCATAGGGAAGGCAGCAAATATGATTTTTTATAGCCTGATATCAGCCTCCCAAGCTAAACTAATTAATTAATTAAATGTATGTGCCACCCATCTCACTATTAGAGCACCTCTGGTAATATGATGGTGCCTGAGGCAAAACTTAAATGTTGCCTTTTATACGAAATAATGATTATGTTCCTAGGTGGACAGAGAAATAGGCAATCAGGGTATCTTTAGTGGGGGGTCAAAAATCAAACTGATAGGCACAATCAATGCAGTTGAGGTACTTTTCAAATATATTGCTTGGAGCATATAAAAACAGGTGGGATTTCAAGTACATGGCTATGACTGCCATCTTGAATTTTTGACCCCTCTATCTTACTCTATGCAGCAATTTTCTTTATTGGCTTTACTTCTTCAGTCTTTCTTTGATATTGGTTTTGTCACTAATCCATTATTTGGCATTTCATTTCCTTTTTATGTTCATTGTTGTTTCCTTTTCTTTAACTATATTGTAAGTACAGCTGGTAATAGAAAATCTCACCTCTGCAGATGTGTTTTCATTTCTTCAAAATGTGTCAGATATTGCATCACTGGGGACATCTGAAGAACAATGTTAGCCACTAGACACATGACTCTACACAATGCTGAATTCTCCTTGAAGAGTGTGATTATTTTTTCATAAAATAACGGATGCCCCAGGGTGAGGAATATTTGCATATTTTGAAATATATTTTCAGTAAATCAAAATGGTGGCCATCAGAAACTGCCACAAAAATTAGCTCCACTATTCTCATCTATTGAAGCAAAAGGAAGAGTTAAACAATTGTGGAATAATGAAAAATGATAAACCAATTATTTGACATTTTTGCACTAAAAAGACAATTAATATATCCATGATTTTTAAAAAACAAACTTCCATGTAAGATGTTATGACTTCATTTAGAAATAAATTAAAATGGCTGCATTTGATTCAACTTTTTATTTGTTTCAAAATGAATGTTCTTCTTATATGCAGCTTTAAATGACAGAGGGTCTTACACAAGATAGTTCAACTTTGAATTGGATTGTTACCTATTCAGGTGCCTTAAATATGCCAGCTGAAGAAGATATGTTACCCTACAAAAAAAAAAACCTCTTTTGTAATCATGTTACTCTTTTTGAAAGAAGTTCCAAAAATAACTATGAATCCTTCTCTGAATATTCTGGAAAATGACATTCTATTAATTTTTAAGGGAAGTATTATCAAGCAATTAGGTCTGTCCTCCAAGATAAATATCTATAGTAGATGTCTCCTTCTGTCAATGGAACAATTGCCATGTGACTTAGGATCCTAATTTATCAAGCTCTTCTCTTATATTAAGATGGGGCTCTCCACTTTAGACATGAAGTAGGGGTTGGTTGCTTTCTACACATGGACAGTGACATGGCAGATGGGGACAGGATCCTAATATGATGTCACTATTTTCCATTACTCAGATCTCTCTCTCTCTCTCTCTCTCTCTCTCTCACACACACACACACACACAAAACACATGCACACACACACATAGAATAGAATACATGCCAGGATTTTCACACAAGTATTATCGTCCCAATGCAACTGTTGGCTGTGTGGCTTAGTTGGGTTATTTGGGACACTGAAAAAACTTTGGGGAGGGAGTTTTTGGGGGATGGGGAGTCATTGGGTTAGGAATATTTAAACCATGTTGGCTGAAAATTCTGGGAATTGTAGACTAACCAACACCCCGGATATCAAATTAGACAAATCTATGTTATAGAATGTTTTGAGTAGAAATACATTTTATAAATCCATTTCAATTATAAGAATGATGATATGGCTTTGCTTGTTGCAGAAATATAGCCTGTTGTGAGAAAACAATGATTTTGTAACCATGCTTTCTATTTTATTCCCCCCCCAAAAAAAAAAAACCCATGACAGAATTAAAAAAAATAATCTGTTTTTTTAGAGTCATTCTTGGTACATAAGGATACATCATCTGCTTGTATCTTGGAGTGATATTTGTTGATAAAAGCCATCCAAATCTTGATTTAGGGAGAAATCTACTGCAAATGGAAAAATGTCTGTTCTGCCAAAATGCTTTCATTTTTCAGTCTATATAGCTGAGCCAGATTGATGGTTTGTGTTGTCATTTGGCAACGTAAAATTTATCAGAGACCATTTGCACTAAAGGATATAAATGGATGAGTTGGCAGTAGAAAATGAGGATTTCTTACTACGATTCCAAACATGATTTTTCATTGTGAGCTTTGTCATCATGGCAACTTTAAAATAGCTCATGTAACTTTATAGTAACTGTTTTAAATAGAAGTAGGGACAAACAATTCATATGTTTTGTTTTCACTCCATTTTTCATGTTCACAACTTTGAATTAGGTTCGATATGCTTTCAACTTTTTGTAGTATTTTTCTTTTTAAAAATCTCTGCATTTGTGAACCTTTTCTGTGTGCAATTCTATATACATTTTTTTTATCTGTACACTGTACGTACTTCACTCTACAATAAGGCATTTTAATGAACATGTTCAGCTAGTATACATTATTGCATACATAATATTGTAGCAGCTCATTTTTCAGATGTATTGTTGAATTGTGAATAAAAACAGAACAATTAACATCTAAGTTTATCATACTGCTGTTCAACAATGTTCTAAAATGGGGTGAGGAGGCAAAAAGTGACTTTGGTGTTGAGCTCTTTCAGCATTCTTTCTGCAGTTCCTCTGAGGGTGCCTGTCCCAAAAAAGTTGCCTTTTTTGTATTTTTTGAAGAAATGGTGATATTTTAGGCCTTTGGGTACCCACTTCAGTCTATAAAATCTCAAATCTCCTCTCTTCTCAAATTGGATTCTGGCTTTCACATTTTAGTATTGTTCTCAAACTACTAATAGCAGTTGCTTAAGAAATAATGAAAGATAAGTTATACTTTCTAGATAGAAGTCCTGACCTTGCTTAGAAGATCTTGCTTAGAAGTCTAATCCTGACCTTGCTTAGAAGTTGACTTAATAGGTGACATTAACAAGTTATAGGGAAATTTACAAAACATTTTATTACATATTATTGCACTATGATAGTGTGAAAAGCAATTTTTGAAATGAGAATAAAGGAACATCCCAGTACTCTTTATACACTTATGAAACTTATTTGAGCCCCATTAGCACTATTAGTGCATGAGAAAGTTATATTTCCAGGGTAAAACCAGTGTTGGGACTGAAAGATAGTCTTTGATTTTAGCTTCCATCCTCAATTTTTATCCTGAAATTCTTTCTCAAAGATTTCTATTCATTTTTGAGGGGAGTAAAGTGTACTTATGAAATAAAAGCACAAATTAAACATAATCTGAGTTTTTTTTAATGTTCTTGTGGTGATGGACAGGTTTGTAAAAATCTGGTTAAATCTTGAGATAATGAAGGAACAGTTTTTGGAAAGTCATTTATTTGTAATTTTACTGTGTTATGGAAGATTTACCTGCCCCTACTTGTTTTTCTTAGTAAAGTGGCATAATGTTTAATGTGTAGAGCTATGCTCAGTGAAACCCAGCTTAAATTCCGGTCTCAGTCGTAACTCACTGAATGACTTTCTTTCAACTCACTGAATGACTTTCTTTCAACAGCATTTTCTTGTGAGAAAAAAATTGGGGGATAGATGGTGTACACTGTATGTCACCTAGAGAGCTCACAGAGAAAATTCTAACATCAATCAATCTTCATGTGAAGTTATATTGCAAACTTCCTGATACCCGCTCAGACCACTTATTCTTATAAATCTTAGTTATCCTTTTTGAATGATGGTAACTCGTCAGGTTCTCAAGAGCCCTTTTGGAGTCCTCTTATATTTGGATTCTGATCCCTCAAACATTTCTTTGTCTGACCTGGGTCTTTCTGCATGGAAACAATATCACTAGGTACATTCTTTTATGACCAAATAATTGGGAGCATTTGCATGTAGAGCATTTGCACATATTTAAACAAAACAACTCCCATGCAATATGTGTAAATGAGATTTGTGGTTATTCATTGACTCTGTTTTCAATTTAAATCTAAAGCATGAGTCTTGCACACCAAAGAGCAACCCCCAAAAGATAAGATTTTCTTCTCTTGATCTTAGAAAATTGAATCTCATATTCCCCTTTAGAGGTCACTTCAAGGGTTGCATAGGGATACAGCCACAATTCAACAAAGATATCCTAAAAATAATTCAAAGCTATTTAAGAACCCTTCAAAAAGATTGAGTATGACAGATCATAACTGAGAAAGCCTGAAACATACCATTTGTAATAATTTCTCCTGGTTCCTGGAATCGAACTCTTCTCTCTACTTTCTCCTTTTCTCTCAATGCTTGTTTCATGGAAGATTTTTTCCTTAGTATGGATGGAGGACATTGGGTAAAACGTGGCTAAAGAAAAAAGAAAACTGTTGAGCATAAGATAAATGTCCAGTTAGTTTATGTGATGGTGTGAGAATTGGTAATTTGGTTATAAGATTCTTTTAATCTCTTTGTACTACTGTAAGCATGAAAGGATTGATTACCAAGCTGATTCAAGTCAATTGGTAGCAACTACTGGTATGAATGGATAAAGAAAAAAAAGGGGAATAATAATTGAGAAATGGCTTGTTTGGTATTAGGAGGAAAGAAAAGGAAGGAAATCTGGGATTTCATTTAGGAGATGATTTAACAATTCTGTTTTTTTTAAAAAACAAGTTGGGAGGAAGTAACAATATGAAGTACTTAAGAATTTGACATAATGTGCTATCTACAGTAATTATAGGTGCAAGTATATCATTTTGAGTGGGATAAATTACCATAATTCCAGATAATTATTACCTCTGAATCTTCCATGTAGGCTTTAGTTGATGAAAATAACATATTCAAAACTGGGTAACAAGTCCATATCTCAGTATTCCATACTGAAGGAAATAAATCCTATTAAATAGGAAAGCAATATTCAAAGAAGCTTAGGTGATAATAAAGAAAATAAAGATGTGTTTAATGTGGGCCATAATTGGGAATCAGCTTTGAGTAGAAGTCAAGTTCCAGAAGAAACAGAGGAGGGAAATTTGACCCATGAAACACTAAAAGTGATTAGTACAATTAGAGTTGTACTGAACTTTTCTTCTTAAATAACATGTCCAACAGTTAAAATGTCCATAACGCTGTGTTATCTCAATTGGAATTAAGCAATGGATGTTCGTTAATATGAAGCCTATAGCAGATAATAGCATCTAGCTGATCTTGGCTGTTTTTCAAACAGCTAAACAGGATTATAGCTCAGTAGTATTTAGATGGCAGACTATCAGACATCCCATGACTGTAGGCTACAGAGCAAAGTTAAAAAAGAAACATATTGGAGGAAAAACAGGGCAAATAACTTTGACATTACTTCCCACATTTGGACATCCATGGACACAAAGAAGCCCACAGACTTTTCCTTGAGATACACAAGTCCCCTCTCCACTAATGATTTAAAGGGACTGTTCTATCGCCAGAACAAAGCAGACTCGAGACCGGAGTTGAATTCAGCTCTTTATTAACGGTTAGTAACTTCAACTAAAGTCGAGCCGCGGCAGCCCTTTTTATAGCGGCTGCTCGAGGCTCGCAACCAATGGCATTTATTTAAAACTTCCGCCGCTTAGGCGGCCAATCAGAATTGTTGTTATCTACCAATTGCTAGGCGGCAGTATCTGTCCAATAGGAATGCAGTATTACAAATATGCAAAACAAGTACATAACAGGGACCTTAAGAGTCATCCAATCATTGTTGTGCCAAAATAATAGTAATGCAGATAAACTTTATATCTATTTTACAGTGGGTAGCTGATACAGAAATGATGTTAGTTATCTGGACCCAAGTACAAAATATTATTTGCTGTTCTATGTATGTTTTTAATATTGATATGGGCTATATAAAGATGCAAATCTTCATAGAGTTAAGTATGGGTAAAATTTTATATCAAGTACATTTTTCCTGGTGATTGTTTTAATATTCTCACATGTGCTCTGAATTACAGTATGTTCTTTCAGTTTGGGCCAAACACCAATGTTCTCAATAGCACAATGTTTCTTTTAGTTTGTTTTTGTACATAGATTAATATCCACAGATATCAGCCTAGTTGTGGACAGCTCATTTATCTTTCTCATGCTAATGTAATATGTATATTATACATATATGATACAAATTAGATCAATTATAATCATAAAGTAGAATTGGAACATTAGAATTTCCTTCCAATATTATAATAAAATTGTCCTAGAAATTTTTATTGGAAGGCAAGGTGGTTTACCATAGTCTAGAGTTTTAATATTCTAGTCCTGCCATCATTAAATATGTACCTGGAATTAAGATGATTCAGTACCGATTGCTGAAATATGTTTTTAAAATTTGTTCCTGCTGTGGGAGAGTTTCTTTTCTAAAGCTATTTGTAGGCTGCATTGCTTTGGACTCTTCTTCAGATGGGGAAGAGATGATACCTCTTACAAATAGTCCTTGCTTACCAACCATTCATTCAGCAACCATTCAAAGTTATGATGGCCCTGATAAAGGACACTTATAACTAGTTCTCAAAATTTAGGCAGTCACAGTGATCTCAGGGTCATGTGATTGAAAAAAGCACTTTTTCAATCATATTTCTGGTCTTCACAGTTGGCTTTCGACATACCTAGTCAGTGAAGAAACTGCGAGGAAGCCAGAAATGGCAGTCATGTAATTCCTTGCTTAACAATATGTGGTGACCCACTCAACAACCACAGTTGGAACTGAAGTCATTGTCAGGTTTGATCACATGTTCTTTCATTTTATGACTATGCTGCTTAGTAGCCCCAAATGTGGTTGGTAAGTGAAGGCTACCTGAATTGCCATATGAGAAGGGGAAAATTGTTGCCCTTATTAATAGAAAAACCTCCATTTTAAGAATTTCAACATGAACAGAACTGTGAAGAAATCCATAGCGACTCTGCACACCAGGTGGGGAAAAAACTGTTTAAAAGTGTTTGTAATTCTAGATTTCTCTTCTAATGTTCATGTCAAGGTTCCGATTAATTAACCCAACCAATTCAGCACTTTCAGCTTTCTCAAAGGACTCATTTATTGGCACATTTAAAAGCAAAACCAGCTCTGGCTATTTCCTGCACTTTCAGTATAATTAAAGAATAGACAACTCCCTCTCTCCTTGTCACAGGTCACCTTGTCCAATTAGGTGTTCTGGCATCTCCTTGATAACTCTTTCAGTCTCTGGTCTGTTGGGATGACCTTGGCTCACATGAGATAGCAAGGTGTTGATGTCTGGTCTGACATTCCAGAGCTCCCCACCACTACAAAGTTTCAAGCTGAGAAACTGAGAAAATGTCTGTGATAGGCCAGATCCATTTCAAAATTGACAGTTTATGGGTCACATTTTTAAGGAACCACTCAAGGATTTTGAGAAACAGTTTCATTCATTTTTTTAAACTAAGCTGATTTTCATGCCCTGGAAGAATACATAGGAATTCTATGTTTTCTCCCAATTTCTTCTAATTATATAGTTCCTGCTTAAAAAGACCAGAATGCATTTTTCCTCTGTTCAGTCACATCTAGCTCTCAGAGACTGCTTGAACAGGACCCTGCAGTTTTCTTGGCAAGGTTTTTCTGATGACTTAACATCACATTAAATTACATCAACATATAGGATATAATGGGCAAGAATGTATATTAAAGCAAAAAAAAAAAAAAAAAGTAGAACTGCATTTACCAAAGAAATAAAAATATTTGCTTAACTTTAAGTAAAGTAATACAAACCCCAGCAGAAGAAAATGTAGTTCTCCAAACCAATTGATCTTGTGAAATTCAGCAGGTCTGGAACTGTTTCTGCATTGCTGCAAAACCCTTTTGCCTGAGGGGTCTTTTTTTCAAGGTTCCTGGTTGCATGTATGGTATTATATTATGCTGTGATTCATTCCCAGTTCTACATTCCTAATGATAATATTGTATTTGTATGGTGCAAGAAACATCTTGTCCTTCAAGGAAAATACTGCAGACAAATTATTACATTGGGCTGATAACACTATTCATTCAGTGTCTCTGTCTGTGTGTGTGGGCGTTAGAAGGAGAAACACATGTATCCAGAGGTTTTTTCCGTTTTTAAAAAATCTAATTTACAATGGCTCGATTTTGTGGTATAGATTGTGTCAGTTACTTTTACGTACTAGACCCAATCACATCTAAACATAAGCCTTTTATTATAAGAAACCTTGAATGTTGCCATCAAGAAATTTTAAAAAAAGCGCATATACTGAAAAAGTCATCTGAAAGTGTGTAGCTTGTCTTAAATGTCGACATTTTAATAAAACCAGACAAATTTATGGATCTAGAGCAGGGCTGTCAAACTTCCAGCCCACGGGCCAGATTCGTCACATGTTGGCCATGCCCATGCCCAGTTTAGCAAAGGGGGGAAAAGCCCCAATATGTCATGTGACACCACCATGATGATATGAGTTTGATACTCCTGATCTAGAGAATGCAAATTACCCCTCCTCTAGTCCTTAATCTTTTAAGCCCAGATGGCTTTCCATTTCATACCCAGTCAGGATCATTGTGGCATCATTATAGATCCTGTGGGTTTAGTTACCATCTGTTACCATCTGCTACAAGTATTCCAGATTCTTACCTTTTCTTTCTTGTGCATTGGAGAAATTGAAGGCATACATTTATGCTGCAAAAAATGACATTTGCAGAACTTCTGAAAGCCTTGGAAAAGAAGCTCCTTCAATACTTCTGTGAAGAATGACACAGATCAATAAAATCAAGAAATGCAAACTGATCAACACTACTCTCATGATCAACATCACCCTCATTTAGTAAAGACCAGTGGTGGGGTGATTTTTTTTTACTGCCGATTCTGTGGGAGTGGCTTGGTGAGCGTGGCAGGGAAAGGATACTGTAAAATCTCCAGGCAGAGGTGATATTTGCTGGTTTTCCGAACTACTCAAAATTTCTGCTACTGGTTCTCCAGAACTGGTCAGAGCCTGCTGAATACTACCAAAAGGTAAAAAGGGTCTGGTAAAGACCCTTTTACCTTTTCTTATGAAAAAACAAAGTTGAAGAAGAGTTAGTGCTTTTGCTGCTACTAACCTTTTATTTTACATCAGCTCTAAAATTTATTCATGTGGTCAATAGAAAAACCTTCCTTTATCATTGCTTCTTGCTGTAGATAAGGCCATTCTGTTGCAATCCTACCTCATTTGAATTGAGCAGAAAGAAACGAGCAGAAATTCTACCAGTGTTCACATGGACTTGGATAAAAATCTCTGTATGATTAGGCTCTTGGTAATGCAAAATCTTTGTCAGAGCAGAGTTTGACTTAGCTCTGTGGAGATCTCATTGGTCAACATAGCAAGGGATCTAAAGAGGAGTACATATAGACAGTCCCAATTTGCAGCACCCTATTCCCTGACTTGTTTAGTGCCCTAACTCATTATTGCAACACATGAATAAGACTTAGCTATAAACTGAATTGAAGGAAATTGTACAAAAACTCTATTCTTTGATGAAAATACATAAACAAGAATGCTGATACAAACAGCAAGCATTCCACTAGAGATGGAGCAGACTCTGCAGAGCATTCTCTCTTATCATCATAAAGCATCCATGAATCAAATCCACTAATCTTATTTCCCCGAGAACAATATTGAGTAGGGCTAGGCAGGACTTAGGATCTGAAGGAAAGACTGTATTGGAGTCCATGTAGGGCTTTGTGTGTCACCTGTTGGTAATTTTTAAAGCAGTATCTTTTATTGGGACTGCATAGCTGCCCTTCACAGCTGCAGCACAATTTTGGGAAAATATGCCTTTGGATTAAGGAATAGTGAACAGTTGCTATATTTACCCTTGTGTACTCTGAATATTTTCCCCTCTCTGAATCTGAAATGCTGCACAGCCTTAATACTGACCTGTACCACAACTAATTTAATTTGCAAGCTGTTCCTAATTCACTATAAAACTTAACCCACTCTAGGAATCCTATAACCAGGACATGAGTAATAATATCCACCTCCCTGGGCTCCACAGTAACCAACAGAGAGACATGTTGCCAGTCCTACTTGAGGTAACATATAGCCACATGACTAGCAGCCTTCAGTAGCTTTATTCTCTTTTAATTGGCCTCATCCCCCTTTCAAGTCATCAGAGTTGAGGGCCATCACCTCATTCTGTATGGAATTGCACAGTTAATAATGTCTGGTGTGAAAAAAAGGAAAACCCATTGCCTGAGGCAGCCAGTTCACTTCCTCTTATAACAGAAAGATTTCTCTGTTGCAAGTGCTGTTAAAATATAATAACACAGACACTCTGCTTGCACAAAAAATTTCTGAAACCATTTACAGTGTAGGAACAGAGTAGCAGTATTAAAGCAGACCACCAAGAATTATAACTCTGCAAAAAGGCAAAGGAGTGTACCATTTCCTTTTTATACTTCCCAGCGGTAAAAAGTCTAAACAATAAACCTTTTGTGATACTCCCCCAACCCACTTTTGTGCACACAGGAGACCAGCAGAAATAATATGAACTCTATGTTCCCACCAATTCCTTCTGCAGGAATAAATACTCGAGACAAACAAAGTATTTTGTAAATGATGTCTTTGTATGGGTTCATACAGTGTGGTTCAATTAGTCCAAAACCTAGCAATTTTCTCATATCATTGAATCTGGTTTTATTGCAAATAAGGTCACAGAAATAGTTGTTCTCAGGAATAATGGACTTAATTTACCTTAACTATTGGCACTTCCAGGGGCCATGTCTGTCTGCCTGAATACAACATTTACATATGTGTAGGTACAAGCATAGGTATGAATGCGCGCATACATATGTATACGTTCATGCACTTATGTATATATTAATAATGAAGTAACCTTATCTTGTACAATCTGAAAACAAAACCATGTAAGAGCAGGCAGCAAAGTATGCCAATGTAACTGGAAGCTTGCATATCAAGGCTCACAGAAGAAACAAATAATGAATAAATAAGGAAGGATCCTTCCAGAGTTCTTTTGGCTTCCTAGGTGCCAACTGATCCCCTGTTCAACATTCCTGCTATAATATTCCATTAAGTAAAAAATACTTAATGCCTCTGAGCCATCTCCACTAGCTTAAAGATGGAACGGAGCCCTTTTTGCCAGGTGCAAATTGGACAATCACTTTGTCTCATAGCAATACACTTTGTAGGATATGCACAGGTTTTGGCTAGGAAGAAACAGCTCCATACTCTATTCACACTTAGGGGAACTTCTACAGATATGGTATGGACATTTCTCTTATCTGCCAGCTTATCAGAAAACATGTCCTATTATTAAGGAAATGTGGTAAGGCTCAATATACATAGCATTGTCTTATATTAAATTATCTTTATCTATCACAGAGATGTCCAGTCCAAAGTCCAAAGACCAGAGTTATTTGCAACCAAAAACAATTGCTAAGTATTATTACCAAATGGTAATAATTTTGTACATATCAGGAGGAGAACTATATTAAATGCATGGCATTATATTAATATTCTTAGTATCTCTTAATTATAAATGCAAACCAACATAGTGTTTGTTCTAGTCCCATTGCTTTTTGAAATGCAACTCCTGGAATATCATTCAAACCCACCACAAAGGCATCTTCCCAAAGCAGCCAATGAAGGCCCTGAAAAATTGGGACTATGAAACACTCCTAGGGTCTACAGTGAAATGAGAAATGGCTCATTGTGAGAATCTTGATTCAATGCCACTCTCGTATCAATCATAACTGATGCTCTGCTTTAGATGCACCAGAAAAGCAACAAAAATATTCTTAGAAGACCACTGAAGGGGATCTGTACTCTAATCCCATGCTTGCTAAGAGCATTGTCAAAATATGCATGTGATCTCCAACATGAGGCAGGTCAGCTAATTTTTAAATTTTAAAAATGAATTTAATAATTACTTGGATTGTGATTTCTAAAATGTTCAACAAAACCTTCTTGCCTATGCCATATCCTTTAGATGATCTTCAGTATTAGAAAATATTTAATGTCTTCTCAACTGGTATTACAAGCCTTTAAAGTTTACTGAAAAGTCTCCTTGGAGTTCTCTGTGTGTTCATTGATCTTAACTGCTGCTTCTCTCCCAATACAATTTTAATATTTCTATTCTCTTAAATATTAGAGTATCCATTGAATATACATGCATTAATATGCCCTGGTTTTGACCTCTGCTGCTAAAGACTTATCAGATTTTAAATAATTGTGAGTACACAACTCTTTATTGAAAGAAGATTCATAACATCCCCCAGGCACTGGATATGGAAATGGTATGAACTTATGGGATGTTTATTTTTCTTCCAAAATTCCTATGTTACTCCTTTGGACTGTGTTTCTTAGATTTTGTTTTAGTATGTGTTTTTTAACCATTTAGTCAGTCCATCTTTTCCCAATTATAGTGCAGTCGATTCCTCTTTTCATATCTGCTTCTTTCCCCATTCTTAAAACTCTTAAGTATGACAATAAGTACTTTACCAGGTCAAAAAGACAAAATTGCAAAGAAAAACACTGTTTCAGATCAGAACTCTACACTGGATCAGTCACATACCTGTTCCATGATGTGTTAAAAGCATGCTCTGAAGTCTGAAGCCTGTGCATCTAAGTTGGGAGGAATGCTTAACAAATCCTTCAAGAAGTAGCAGCTGTTTTTCTTTTCTGTCTGCAAATTCCTTTAAAGCTGTCAAAGATTTTGTAATCAGATGAGGTTATCAAACCCAATCCTCCTGAGACCTGGAAATAAGATCCAAAGATGAGCAGTTCAGCTGCAGTAGGACTAAGGCTGGAACACTTAATGTTTCTATTGAAATTAAATGAAGAGGCTTGAATTGTTTCAAGAGTGAAAAGCAAAGCTTCGACAAGGCTATAAGCAGGACTGATGTTTTGCGCTGCTTCTTTAACTGATGTGAGATAAAGTTCTATGTGGCCCATAATGGAATCTGAAAGCAGTTAAAACATTTATTGATGGGAACAAATTCTGCAAAGGATTGAATGTTTAGCTGTGCAGTTTTCCTGGCAAATTCCTCCCCCTCTTACAGCTGAGTAGTTTTATTACAGGAGAATCAGCAGAAGCCAAAAAAGATGCATAATCTAAAGCTTTTATTTGATCAAGTCTGTAATGTGAAAGCCTCAAAAATAGATTTGGAAAACAAAACAAAGAACATTGCAGTTTGTTTTATGTCTGCAAAGAAAGTAGCAGAAGAGAGGAGGATTTAAGATACCCAAAGGGCCTACACATTTGTAGTTAGTAATGGTCCCTACCAACAATTTGATCTCCTGATTTGCAGTTTGCCATTAACAATATCCATTGGTTAATGTGTAATGAGAGGCAGAGGCAGAAATGCCAGATGCATCTGGCAGGAAAGTCAAGGCTGAAATCTGTGGATTACTTAAGTTTGTTAAGAAAGAGGGAGAACATTTGTATTTAGGCAGAAGAAAAGTTGTTGACGTGGAAGATGGACACTGTTTTATGAATTGGCTTAGTAGTGCATGCATGTTGCCTGTACTTGTCAGTCTGTGAAAGAAGGCATTAAAAATGAAATAAAAAGGAAAAGGGCAGCAACTCTGAGCACATGCCTTTTTCTAACTGGTGGGGCTGGCAAGAAACAACTGTGCATACAGAAAGTTAATCTGTGGGCCCTAATCACACCCAAAATCAATGGAGAAGACTTATAGGAGAGTGAAATTAGATTCAGGGTCAATCCTGGATTGGTGGAGTAGAGGGGAAAAAATCCAAAGGGTTGAAATGAAAATAAAAAGCAAAAGAAAATGGAAAATGGTTGGAGCATTAGTAGACTGGGAGCAGGTGAGGCAGGCAGGAATAAGGAAAGACCAGGAACCAGGTTGAAAGGCAGAGATCTGGGAAATGTCTCTGAACCTAGAACTATTATATAGCCCAGAGCATTTAAATTCAGAGGAACCCATTGGTTGTCTTTGTGTCTGGAAGGTAGGACAAAAATTTAGAATTAGAATAACAGAGTTGGAAGGGAACTTGGAGGTCTTCTAGCCCAACCCCCTGCTTAGGCAGGAAACCCTACACCATTTCAGACAAATGGTTATCCAATCTCTTCTTAAAAACCTCCAGTGTTGGAGCATTTACAACTTCTGGAGGCAAGTTGTTCTACTGATTAATTGTTCTGTCAGGAAATTTCTCCTTAGTTCTAAGTTGCTTCTCTCCTTGATTAGTTTCCACACATTGCTTCTTGTCCTGCCCTCAGGTGCTTTGGAGAATAGCTTAACTTCGTCTTCTTTATGGCAGCCCCTGAGATATTAGAACACTGTTATTATGTCACCCCTAGTCCTTTTCATCAAAGTAGACATACTCAGTTCCAGCAACTGTTCTTTATATGTTTTAGCCTCCAATCCCCTAATCATCTTTGTTGTTCTTCTCTGTATTCTTTCTAGAGTGTCAACATCTTTTTTACATGGTGGTGACCGAAACCTAATGCAATATGCCAAGTATGGCCTTACCAAGGCATTATAAAGTGGTATTAATAATAATAACGATGGGAAAACAATATTGCCATCTTAAGAATGGGACCTACACGACCCATTTGATGTCTTCTGGTGGATCTTTGGATTTTTTTGTAGCTCAGATCTAGAAGTCCTGTTCACTTGCTTATTATACCAAACAGGTTTAAATCCCTATTTGAAGTTTGGGAAAAGCACTTGATGTCTGTCTTTAAAATAACTTCTACACTGAAAAGAAAGGAAACTGCTATCAATACACTGTTTATTTTAGGAACTAGAACATTAGCTTTCAATGGAGAATTCCAGACATCATCTTGAAAGGAGCTTCCTGCTTCTAATATAGATACAGTATATATCTATAAAATTGCACAACAAAGCATACAATAACAATGCACACCCAGATACAGTTGCGTATGGAACTGTCAAGACATTTACTTGCCTGAACCTCCATGCATGATACAGCTTGCCAAAGACTCAATCTGGATATGAGCTAAATACAGAGTGTTCCTGTGTGTTTATACTGGAGTAGGATGTTTAATGCTCCTGTCATTTATCTGAGGATGAAGTGAGAAAAACACCAATGCCAAGAAATTTTTTAAAAAGCACTATAGCTTGGGCCATAAACATTGGCTTATTTTGACCTACAAAAGCTTGCATTTATATACAAAACGGCTGAGCAAAATCTCTCTTCCTTCTTTTGATATTCTTGAAATAGATCCAACAGAGCTGCAACTGTTTCTCCAAACTTCTTGCTCTCCAAATTTTTAGATTCAGAGGTACCAGCTAAGCATGTATTCAGTTACAAATACAAATAGTCACTATTTTCTTATAAATCTCTAATCTAATCTTTATTGTTATACAATACTTGAGCTCTCAGAGGATCACAAACCTCATGCATCATGAGAACAAATTCCTACAGAATATAATAAGGATCCAGAGTGGTAGGGATTTCCCAAGGTGACTCCCAGACTCTCTGCTGTCACTTTATTTCTTCTTCCTCATTATTACTACTGCTTCTTTTTGGGATGCCCAAAACAAGCTTTATGTTAGAGTAAGACAGACAGTTGTTCCTTCTTACACTGCCTTGCAAACCAACAGATAGATACAAACTCAAGATTAATCACACCAAACTTGATTGCAGGAAATACGACTTCAGCAACAGAGTGGTCAATGTCTGGAATACTCTACCTTACTTGACTTTGTGGTTTCTTCCCCAAACCCCAAAAACTTTAACCTTAGATTTTCTACTATTGACCTTACCCCTTTCCTAAGAGGTCTGTAGGGGGCGTGCATAAGCGCACCAACGTGCCTACCGTCCCTGTCCTATTGTTTCTTTTATTTTTCTTATATGTATCCTTGTATTCATAACTATGTTTTTACTTATACCTATTATCTTGTAAGCAATTGACAGACCAAATAAAATAAAATAAATAAAAAATAAAACAGCAAGAGCAAACTGGAAAAGCAGCAATGCAGAATTGTGCCCTGGAGCCCTTTTCGGAGCTTCCCTTCTCATTAGGCAGCATGGCTGGGTGGCCATCTGAATCTGCCTTTAAGCACAGCAAGTGGTGATTTTTTAATGCACTTTTATTATATTTTTTATTCTTAGAAATAACAATGTTTTTTTTTAAGTGAGTAAAATAACATGACCAGTTTTGGATATTGTACATCTTGATTTGGGATAAGAGGCACCATTATAAAAGGCCAGTCCCAAATATGAGCTTCAGTAGTATCTGATAAAATATTCTATTTACCTAAATGAACTCACTGTGCTTTTGAATGATATTTCTGCAATGGATGATTTAAAGGAGGTCCACCACCAGATAATTGGAACAATCAGAATACAAGTTGGGTTCGCAACACAAAATGCATTTTCTTATTTCTCTTTCTTTTCATAATGACTGATAAGCAAGAGATGACAATTCAAAATAAATTTATTAGGAATCTCTGCATCTGTCTTGAATTGCCTAAACATTTGGACATTGTGACCTGTAACTAAAAGTACATTTTTTAAATAAATAATTATATTTCATTTATCATATAAGAAGTCTAAGCTACTATTGGCAGGTAATTGGTGCAACGCAGCTTCTTTACCACGTTCCTGGGAGAGTCACACCTATTGACATTATCAGAAACCTTGTGGCCATGTATTTTGCAAAAAATAAGCAGGACATAGCAGGTAGTCTGTGAGCTGTGAGTAGACTTAATTCACTGTAATGTGGGGATATATGACACTTTTCTTAGTTTGTCTGGATGTTCAGAACATCAAACTCAAGACATCCCAAGCAGAAGCCACCAAGTAACAAACATTTCAGTAATTTCAGGAGTCTTGCTAAACTACACAATTTGTTGATACGGAGGCTGTAATGAACAATTTGGAATTTGGGTAAATGTTATTAATAGAAAGAGCCAGACTTTCAGAAGCAGTGGCAACAGAAGAAAATGTCATGGGAACTGTCAGAACACAGATGACACAGGCATTGGATACTCATGTACAAAATAGCATCTGTAGTGTGTGAAGTCCCTTATAGAATGCCCATTCCACAAACAAGTAAATCAATAAACTAAAGTACAAATATTGTGCACCAGAATTCAAAAAACATAGTGGGTCCTAACAGAAACATTATTTCCTTGAATTTATATTTTATTTTCTTTTAGGAACAGACAACATTTCTTTCCATCCACCTCCAAATATATTTTCTCTACCCCAAATCATAGCACGTTCCCACTGATATTCCTAATTTCTTCAATTGCCTTCCACCCCAGTCCTAGATTCCCTATACATTTAACTATATGCCAATTTTCTTTCTTTCCCAATTCTAGCATAGAATTTTCTGGATTTATCCTTTGATTCCACTGAACTACTCTCAGACCTTGCCAGTCCCAGATGGGTCTGAAACTTTACTGTGTCTCAGCTGGCAGTTCAATCAATACCTACCTTGTCAATCAGGCACCATCAAAAAGTCTGTGATCTTTGTTTCTCTGAAAATGAGATTGCCAAATCACTTTGAAAGAAATATATAAATAAAACAATCGCTTTGGCTAGAAACAATCCACTAATATAAAATTCAATCAGTTGAAATGCCTATGCAATTATGCCAGCAATCAATCGATTTCAACTTCACCAAGACTTCCTGCAGTTCAGCTCTGTAAAAGTAACTCTTTATAACTTTCCCAATTAAAGTATATCAGATGTTAAACAAAAGGAACCAAAGCTTTCCACAGCAGCAAACTGTAGAATCCTGAGGATTCAGATAAAAATTGGGATGAAGCCAAAGGTCTTCAAAAAGGTCCTGACAGAGAAAATAATTCATGATGGAATGCAGAAAATAAAGTGCAAAAATAGAACTTAGTGCTGCTAAGCAACAAAAGTGCAACAGAATGCCTTAAAATAAAAATGATGAGGAAGAAAACTTAGGAAACCAGAAAAATAAGCATACTGGAATTTATTCCAGTCCCAAAGATCAAAACAAAAGAAACCAAGATTATCACAAAAATCAAAGGTGGATGTTAAAAATAAGCAAATCTTTCTAAAGAAAGACCACATTCCAGAAAGCATAAGACAAAATTGTCAGAATATAGAATAACAAGAGTTTGAATTGACGTTGGAGGTCTTCTAGTCCAGGGGTCACCAACCTTTTGGACCTCAGGGACTACCAAACTCATAATTTTAAATCCCAGGGACCATTAACCGGTTCTGGTTGGGCATGGCTTGTATATTGAATTTTTTATTTAAAAAAGAGCAATTTTTACCCAAAAGCAGGCAAAGCAGGCAGGTAGATTGAGTTTCTCACAGAATCACAGATTCATTCAGTGATCTATCTATCTGCCATCGGCTAGCTCAGTCTGTCACATAAAATTTGCTTGCCGTGAGTCTGCACTGAATAATAGAACCTTCAGTCCTAAGGGAGGTTCAACAGCAGAGCCGAAGATCTAAAGACTAGCAAAAAACCAAGAAATCCAACCATTTACTTCCTAGCTAATCAGAACAGATGATGGTTGGAAAAAGGAAAAATAGCAATTTAGCTGGCAAGTTTTCTGGGGAAGTAGTGAGTGGGCAGGGAGGGTTTCCGCGGGCCATGTGGGCAGCACAGCCTTGTGTTTCTGCACAGCCTGGATTAATTGCTTTGGGGGGTGGGTGCTCTGGAGATTTCTCTTAGGCCCACCCAAATTTTCTCGCAGCCCACCAGTTGGCAGCCACTATTCTAGTCCAACCTCCTGCCCAAGCAGAATACATTAGCCCAAATGTCTGTCCAGTCTCTTCTTAAAAACCTCCAGTGTTGGAGCACCCACAACTTCTGAAGGCAACCCACTGGTTAATTGTTCTCACTGTCAGGAAATTTCTCCTTCTGGTTTGTATTTCTCTGTGATAAGTTTGCATCTATACTTCTTGTTTTTCTCTCTGGTTCTTTGGAGAATCGGTTGCCATCTCTTCTTTGTGGCAGCCTTTCAAATATTGGAAGAATGCTATTATGTTGCCCCGTAGTCCTTCTCTTCATTAGGCCAGGCATACTCAGTTCCTGCAATTGTTCATCATTTGTTGATGAACGGTTTAGCCTCCAGTTCCCTAATCATTTTTGTTACTCTTCTCTGCACTCTTTCTAGAGTTTAGAGTCTCTCTCTCCAAAAAAGATAAAAGATAAATTAAGGAGGGGAAAAGAACCCCCTGCTGAGATTTCCAATTTCTTTTCCATCTCCTAACTCTATTCTAATAACTTCTTCCAATTCGTTCTATTGGGCCTGATTTAAAATGTTTTCCTGGATTGGTAACTTTTGAGGTAGGGAGAATGGGGAGGCAAAATTTTCAAAAACCATTTTCTGTTTGTAGGGCTTGACGTATTTTCAAGTCTATGGGCCCATTAGCTCTTGCCTAAACCCTGGCACCAACATGATCTGTAACCTGATTTTCTCTCTATCATCTCAAGTGTGATCATGACTAGGACAAGCTCAGCTGTACAATTAACTGTAAATTAGTCACTCCCCACTTTTTCTACCACTATTCAAGGATACTCTGTTAGGCTTTGTTGTCCTGAAAGGAAATTTCCATATTTATTGATTTGGCCATGCAACTCTGGGCAGCATCTTTTAAACGTAATATTAAAAACAGAAGAAAAAAAAGCAAAAATAAAAAACAATAGAGGAACATATCTGATGCCAATTAAAAGGAAGGAGGGATGTCCTCATCAGTTGTACCATTGGACCAGTGGTGGGATTCAACTTTTTTTACTACCGGTTCTGTGGGCGTGGCTTGGTGGGTGTGGCAGGGGAAGGACACTGTAAAATCTCCAGTCAGAGGTGGTATTTGCCGGTTCTCTGAACTACTCAAAATTTCCGCTACTGGTTCTCCAGAAGTGGTCCGAACCTGCTGAATACCACCTCTGCACTGGACCCTCAAAAGCAACTAATCACTGCTTTTAGGTTTCAATCAGCTTCATGAAATCACATCAATGGCTGTTCTTTCAAAATGCAGTAAAACCCTTCAGGAATTAAGCACTGTTGGATACACAAATACATTTTCGCCACCCCATCAATCAAGCAGCATCTCTCAGTCCAAGAGTTGAGGAGCTGAACCGAGGAGAAATTTTTGCCTGGGTGATCATTAGGTCCAGCTTCTCTGTTTTGAAGAAGAGTAAATGAGGCATGTTTTGAAGTCAGGAGGTTTCTTGCCCTTTCCACCCTGATTGACATATCCTAACAGACAAGTTGCTCTAATGGACAACTTAGCTTCTGTTCATAGTCACCAACCTCTGCCCTCCCATTAGTATTGGATGACAGGAGCAAAAATTACCTAGATGTGGGAAATGATAAAAGGAGAAAGTAAAGGATGGACCCTTTTATTCCATCAGAGTAACCACTAGTAGGATGTAGTGATATTAGGCTCAAAATCTCAGCTAAGATGATTCTTAAACTCCCATTTCTTGACAGAAATTTGATGGCAAATAAGATGGCAAAACCTTTAGAGAGTGGAGCTATTGCTGTTAAAGAAAATTAACCATTTTCTTATAGTTTTTCTTTCCCCATAAATGTCACCAAATACATTTCTCAACCTGATGCCTTCAAAACATGTGGAGGCTTGGTAAAAGAGCTGATGGTTCCCTGATGAAATTTCCTTTTAAAACAATTAAAATTTGAAGGCATCATATTGTGTCAGAGAGTTCTTTAGATCAGGGACATTGTGGCAATCATGTATTGTATACTGAAATTTAATGGAAACTAAGAAAAGCATTGTTTATTATTTAATACTATAGTTCTTTCTTCTTTTTGGAATGGTTTGTACAACATGTTAGTTTTATGCAGTATATTATTCCTATTACTCTATTTTCATTGTGTTATTTAAGTGCATATTTCTTTCTAACTGGATTAAACTGTGAGTTTAATCTATGAATTTTTCAAGTTGCCTTGAAAAGGAATGAGAGAAATACAACAAGGAAGCAAATAAATAGTCAGCATTATTTGGAAGAAAGATACCAGCATTTTTAAACTAACAAATAACTATAGTGTTGTCAGAATCACATATAAAGGCCAAATGCCTCTCCAAAGCCTGAAAGTGTTTTGTTATGATTTTCAAGAAAGATGATTTAGAATTCATTTAAAAACTATATCTACAAAATCTTTAGATCTGCCTGTATTTGGTTGATTCATACTGATCTGTTCTTTACTAAAGTCATAAAGAGTGCCATTGTACAACTTGAACTTATAAAATAATCATGGTATCGAAAGGAAATATTAATTTGATTGATATGAAAATATTACAAGATTGTAGCAATAAATACTGTATTTCCTCAGGTTTCCTCTTTGCTACACTCAGCTTCTCTTTGTGTGGGAACGTTTTATACTTTCCCCATTTCTTAAAAAAACATTATCCAGTCTTGACATATTTTCAATTTTCACACAAATGACCCTCTAGGATGTTTGTTGGTGCAGCCAGAATTAAAATGACTTCTGTGCTTTATCTCCTGTCATTCCATGCCTGACTTAAGAATGACTTGCAAGTAAGCTCAACCCATATTTGTCATAGCTAAGTGACTAAAATATAAATTGAATATGTTCTCCATTCCAAGAAAATGAACCACAATAAAATTATACATTGTAATATTGGTTTGGAAAGACTGCTAACACTGTGGTGTGCTTATATAGATATAACAGCAAACAATAGTATCAAGAAATTGGAAACTATGAATAAAACCAGGGAGGTGAGCCAAGAAAGAAAGAATAGAGCTTTAGAGGATGCGTGTAACAAAAATATTCATTCTGAATTTTTTGATGGCTATTTTTTTTTTGCAGCCAGACCTGCACTTAAAAAAACAGTCTTCAGAGGTATTGAAGGATATTTAAACTTGGTGGAAGGTTAGTGAGGAGCTAAGTAACATTGATGTGTTAGGCATACTCATGGCATAAAGCATCTATTTTAGCTTTTATTTTTTGTCAGGAAGAGAAAGAGGAGGAGAAGGAGATAGGTGTTCTTAAAGCTCATGTTTGGTGGACTGCTTATCCCTGTTTTGGAGAAACATTAAGTTACTCCTGAATGCAGTTTTGGGATCACTTATAAACATATTAATGACTGAACATCAAAGTAGTGCATATGATCAAAGGTGAGAAGATCCAGAAGTAATAGATGCCAAAGGAAGCGGCTGGTGGACTAATAGGAAAGATGCCACTACTGTACTGTTCTTGTTTTTGGTTTTATAGTTTGGTACCTGATCTTGTTAATATTTTAATATTATTCATTCAACTGGAAGCTATTCAGAGTTGCTTTGTAGAGTAAGATAGCCAGTGAAAGAAAGAAAGAATGAATCAGGTAGCATCTCAGTTGAGGAGAGACTATGACAGTTCATAGGGTTGTTTGCATGAACCTTACCTTGCATGACCAAATGTTGATGATGGTCCAACAGCAGCTGGAAAAGATTAGCAGTTTTTCACCCCTGCCACATAACCCAAGTCTGTCTAATCTCTGACAGGAATAAAAATGTTGGTAG